GCATGTCTATGATCTATGACCTACATACATAGCATACATACGTACCTTGTACTAATCAAGTAGTTAGTAACCTACATGTCTACATGCCTACCTAATTACCTAGCAATTAAGCAAGCAAGCATATCCAACACCAGAACAAGAAGTCCATTATTCCACCGCCACCACCCTTTCCTTACTTACCTACTCGTGTATTCGTGCCATGTGGTGTACGTGTCGCAGTGTGTCTAGACAAATCCAGACAATCTGTTCTGTAAACGATACGCAAGTATAGAGACGCGGACAAGTGACCAAGTGACCAAGTCAGATCTTGACTCAAGAAAGAATCATTTTTCTCAGTTCAACAGCACTTCTCTGCCTGCCTTTGATCGAATATTGCATTCCTTCATTCAGTTATCCAACAAGACGTACATGCATGCATATCCTGGATATCCATCCATTTCACACCCGAAAAAAAAGTCCCTGCAAGCAAGCACTGTGTGGCATATTACCTCTGTAAAAAAAATTTATAGCCAATTCTGACCTCGTGTTCTCCGGCCCTCTTTCTCTCCCTTGTACATGCCCTTCTTACTGGTCGGAATACCCATGCCAATCAAGCTGTTCATCATCATGACGCCGGCCTCGACACTGTCAATGACGTTGACGGTCCGGCGCCCGTCTTCGTCCCTGACTGCGTCCTTGGCCGCACGCACCATGTCCGTCATCCCCGCACAGCCTAGTAGGATGGTGTCGGCGCCCTTCATGACCAACGCGCGGGCACAATGCGCGACGCGTTTGGCAACCTCCTCTCTTGGGCGGGACTCGAGCTCGAGAACGCCGAGGTGGGTGGCTTCGCTCCCGACGTAGAAATGTGTGAGTCCGTAAGCCGCGATGTCATCGTCCTGCTTGATCTTGGACCGCTGCGCAGTGGCGACGATGCCGAAGCGCCCACCGAGCATGCGGGCCACATAGACACTCGCCTCCATGATGCCGATGATGGGCACGTCGTAAGACTCGCGCAGGGCGTCGATGAGCGGGTGCTTGCTGAAGCAGGCGACAATCATACCGTCGTAGTTCTGTACAGTCTCGCCGTTCGACGCAGCGTGTTTGGCGAGGTCTCGCAGCACGGCTTCCGTCGACATGATTCCGTCTGTCGTCGACTCGATGGCCGTCGGTGCCGGGTAGGGGGCGGTGTAACCAGTCACTTCGACTCCCTGGGGAATGACGGGTCGCAAGGACTGGAGCATGGCCTCGGTCATGGCGCGTGTCGAGTTTGGGTTGATCAATAACACCTGATGTGGGCGGCTGCGTGGAGGGGAGGTGACGGGTGGCGAGAAGGGAGATTTAGCACTGGTGGGGCGGGTGCTAGGACCACTCCCTCCGCTACCTGTGGGCATCGAGGGCATGGGCCCGCCCATTGAGCCGGGGCCACTTGAAGCGGCGGAGCGGGAGACTGGGCGGGATGACGAACCGGCGTGGCCACTGTGCTGGGCAAAGAGCGGCTGGACGGATTGCTGGGGAGGGGAGGTTGGCATGGGTGGCGCGACGGCGATTGGGTAGTTCTGACCGATGGTGCTGCTTCGAGAGCGTGAGCCCCCCGGCCCATCGGCGAAGGGATTGCCAGCAGGGTTGTATTGGTCATTCGTGGGAGACTGGGGTGGAAAGTACTGGCTGGGGAAACGGGCACTGGTGTAGCTATTCATGTTGACCGACGACGACGCCATGGCCTGTGCTTGTTGGGGGGGAGGCGGTGATTGAGATCCAAAATTGCCAGAGCCGGCTGATGGGACACGCTGATAGGAGGACATGGCGGGATCGGTCTCAAGTTGTTCGTAGCTGGAGAGAAGAGCCTGCTGCGGTTGGGGAGAGCCAGATCTCGAGCCGCCAGGCCGCAAGGAGACAGGATGTCCTTCTTGCTGAGGTTGAAGGATGGTGGGAGGCGATTGTTGTTGTAAATCGGCCATGGCTTTCTTTTTTTTTGTCTTTTTCCTTGGTCCCTTTTCCCCCCTTCCTTGGTATGTACCCAAAGCAGCAAGATTCGACCTCCGGGCCTGTTAAGCGAGGTTTTGCCTGGTGCTGGCAATTATTGTGGTGCTGTAGTGGCCTTCGTTACCGCCCTCGCGTCGTGAGAGTGGGTTTTGAGCTTTGGCTTTGGCTGTGGACTAGGACCAAGCCTGTTTTATCCTCCGGCACGCCAGTTAGAAGCCAATAATGACGTGCTTGACTCGAATGGGCTGTGTTGTGCTCCGGGGGTTGCCCTGAATCTTGGTGTCAGTGTCAGGATGTACCGAGTACAAGGTTGGGGGAACACGGAGACACGGTGAGAAGAAGAGGATGAGATGATAACAATAGAAAAAAGGCCACGAGAGAAGTTCAACTTAGCTTTTTCTCGTCTAATTCCTTCGGGCTCGCAACAACACAGACAGCTGACCTGCGTAATCGACGGGGGAAGAGGAATTGTGCATCAAACAGCTTGAACCGGGTAATCTCCAGGGGAAGCAGAATGAGGTTAGAGGCGTTGGAGCCTGTCGGACATGCCTAAGCTATATTTGGGTGCCGCTTATCATTCAAGGATCTGGAGACGAGAGGGTCGCCAGCCAAGTGATGAACTAGCCCCAGCACGTCGCCAGCCACGTTGCCGACCTTCCAGGGGTGACTAGCCTAGAGAATGTACCTACTCGGTGCTTGTCGAACCTAGCCAGTCACTAGGCTAGGCTCAACGGTGGTGTCCTTTGGTTAAGAGTGGGAGAGGAGAATCTGGGCCAAGGCGCCGAGCAAGAGTACCTAGGCAGGTACATGTACGAGGTGCATATGGGCACCACTACACCTAGGCAGCTGCTGTTAGGTACTGCCAGTTGCCTACGCATCACCTACTGACTGCACCGCACCTCTTGTGCTCATTTTCTGTATAGCTGTCGTCCATCTCAGACTCACAGCAGATCTGGCTCAATCACCCCCGTCTGTTCCGCAATCCGCCCGTAATGCTCAATCCTCCGGTGCTTCTCAAACGCAAACACCTTCTCCTTGCCGCGGCGGCACATGCCCAGGTCGATTTCGGCCACAATGAGCTCGTCGTCTTCCGTCTGCGCCTCCACCACCACCTCCCCGTCACAGTCGACAATGCAACTCCCGCCAATTAACGGATACTTGCCGTCCTCCACGCCGCACTTGGCCACGTTGATGCTGAAACAGGAGTTGGCATAGCTGTTGTACGTGATGCACAGCTTGTTGTGGAACAGGGCTTCTGCCTTTGCCTTTTCCGGGCTCGAGATCTTCTTGTTGGTCCCAATCAGTTCCGGCGCCCAGGCGGTCGTATTATATCCACACAGAACCAGCTCCGCCCCCTGCAAGCCATACGGCCTCCATGACTCTGGCCAGCGTCGGTCGTTGCAGATGAGCATGCCGACGATGGGGTCGCCTTTGCCCAGACTGTCGGCCTCGTTGGCTTTTGCGCCCGACTTTTGCTTCAGCGCACCAGGGACCAATCCGGGCGCCCGAAAGGCCTCGAAGCCCAGATTCCCCGGAAGAAAGTATCTCTTCTCCAGCTGGTTGGTCGCATCTTTCCGTTCATAGGGCTCAAACGTCCCGGGGAGGTGGACTTTGCGGTATTTCGATATAATCTTGTCTGCCTCGCCGGAATAGTAGACAGCCGTGTTATAATGGACATGTTCGCCGGGGCCCGACTCAGCGGCGTGTTCTGCATACCCAAAGTACACGTCCATCTTGTACACTCGAGCGCGGTCAAAGAGAGGTTTGATAGTAGGGACCTTGGTGGCATCCCCATCCACTTCCTGCTCGAAATATTGCTCCAGCTCATCACCCTCGAGGATATGGCGAGGGAAGAAGGTCACGGGCGCGATTTCGGGATAGACAATCAACTTGGCGTGTTTCTGGTGCGCCTCATCCATCAACTTGAGCATGCGATCCATCGCCTCGGATCGTGGGGTGTCGACATTGATTGGGCCCAACTGGGCACCCGCGACAATGACCTTGCGATTCGACTCTGCCGTATGGCCTGCACTGGGACCCTGGATTGAACCCATGTTGAGGGCTTGCTTGTCCACTTACTTAGTCTGGATGTCTCGAATACAACCAAGAGATACAAAGACGGCACGACAGTCTCTGATTGACAGGTACAGTAAAATATTCTGGGTCTCTTCTGCCGTCAGCCACCGAGCCTGAAACTGAAAGGGGTGTCCGTACTCGTACCTACACGTATGTATTCTGTCTCTACCTAAATATGTTTTGCTGACTTTTTACAGTTTTACAGTAAGTACAATAAGTAATATCTCACTTATAACCCCTCATCCATTTACGATCGATCGGTCGGCCCGTCCGTTATCAGAGTACAACCCCAATTTCTTCAATCCCCCGTCCACGCCCATCCACATGTACATATACGCTGTTGTCCGCCTGGCCGTGTCGACCATGTGGTCCCGCCCTTGAAAAGGACATCCACGCTCACACTCTGTTTGCCGTCGCTTTACCCACCCGTCCCAAGCGGCCATCAGCGCGTCTTCCCAATAATCAAGCAAAAGTAAGTATGTAGATCAGAGCCTCTAGCCTCCAGCCTCCAGCGTCTAGAACTTTATTCCTTGTACCCGTACCTTGTACCCTGTACTGGTAGTGTATTGGCACCTGGTGCAGGTACCTGTGTCTGTGGAGGACAGGACAGGACAGGAAAGGAGAGGAGAGGACAGGGTTGACACAGGTACGGCCACCCGTGCGGATATGTTATGATATGATATCAAGGTTTTTGATAATGACTCAAACGGCACCAAAGCAACGCACGACATAGTATTTATTGTAACTTTTTCCTTGCGCCTCTTTGATTTATTCAAAAGTAGCACTCTTCCTCTCTCTCTTTTTCGCTCGTATTCGGTACTTGTTCACAGCGTAGATCTAGATTTCCTTTACTACATTATTTCCCTCTCCTCTTTTTTTTTATCGGGAATAGGTAGAGGAGAGAGGACTGTCTGTTTAGCTGTCTGGCTATCTAGGACGGAGGGTGGTTCGTTCTCCAAATGGCCCTATCCAGCGTCATCGGGCGCCTACTGGCATCACTGGCCATTACCATCCTCTCCCATCCCCTCTGGACCATATTGCTGGTCCCCCTGACCCTGGTCGTCGCGCGGTCTCTGTACCGCATCTCCCCGTTCCATCCACTGTCGCATATCCCCGGACCGCTCGCCCCTCGCATCTCCTCGCTATGGCTGACCTACCACGCCTGGATCGGCGACGAGGCGACCGTCGTCGAGACTCTCCACCAAAAATACGGGCCCATTGTGCGCAACGGGCCCAACAGCGTCGACATCTCCGACGGCGCCGCCCTGGCGCCCATATACACGGAGCGGGGGGGCTTTGTCAAGCCAGCCTTCTACGAGAACTTTGCCCTGCCGGACTCGGCGCAGGTCCATAATTCCATCTTCTCGGAGGTGGACCCTTCGATACGGGCTCCCCGCGCAAAGGCCGTCGCGGTGCTGTTCTCGACCGCAAACTTGAGGCAGGGCCAGGACGTCATCCATAAATGCGTGGATCGGTTCGTGGACCGGCTGGCCGAGGGGAAGAGGCAGAGCGAGAAGCAGGGCGGCGGCAGCGGCAGAGGCCCGGTGAATGTCTTGAACTTGACGCGAGGATTGGCCGTGGATGCCGTGACGTCGTATCTCTTCGGGACCAGCTACGGGGCCCTCGCCGAGGAGGACAAGTCGCACAACCACCGCCGGCATGAGGAGGTCGCCGTGCAACGCGAGCTGGCCGAGCCCATGAGCGCCGCGGGCATGGTCGACTGCTTCGTCGCGGTCGGCCGGTTCTGGTACCTGCCAAAGTGGGCGTTCAAGCTGGTCGAGTCGTTCGACGCATGGTGGAACGCGGACGAGGAAGTGTCGCAGAGTCTGGCGCACGTCGACGAGTTCGTCGCAGGTGTGGTCCGTGACGCTGAGACCGCGATCCAAGAGTCCCAGTCGACCGAGAAGACAAGCACCCCGAAACACCCGTTGACGTCGTACCCGGCCCGTCTGCTGCAGGCCGGCTTCACCGCGTCAGAGACGCGCGCGCAGTGCAAGGACCTGATCTTCGCCGGCACCGACAGCACGGGGATGAACCTGGCCACGATCCTGTTCATGCTCGCGCGCCACCCCACGTGCTACCAGAAACTGAGGGACGAGGTCCTCGCGCACCGGCCGGGCTTCGACGACCTCCAGACCCTGCCCTACCTGCGCGGCGTGGTCAAGGAGGGCCTGCGTCTCTCGATGGCGAACCCGTCACGCCTCCCCCGCGTCGTGCCCCCAGGGGGCTGGACGTTCAAGGACACCTACTTCCCCGCCGGCACCGAGGCCAGTTGCACACCCTACTCGCTACATCTGAACCCGCGCGTCTTCCCGGAGCCTCGTGCATTCCGCCCTGAGCGCTGGCTGGACCCCTCCGACGAGATGATCCGCGACGCCATCCCCTTTGGCCTGGGCAGTCGGCAGTGCATCGCGCGCAATCTGGCCACTGTCGAGCTGTTCTGGGCTGTAGCGCGCGTTGCCGAGGCCGATGTCCTGCGCGGTGTAGATACCTTGACCTCCAACATCCAAATTCTCGAGTGGTTCAACAGCAAGGTTGTCGGGGAGAGGATAGATTTGGTCTGGGCGTAAAAAAATCCAAAGGGATTTTGGGAGAAGGCATTGGCGCCGAAGTACACAAATGACGTGGTTTCTCCCTCTAGCAAAATGAGAATCTTGATGGGTTGGGAACTGCGAAGGAGGGCCATATTCAACAACCAGACCTGAATCAAGGAAGCTCGCTGGTCGACAAAACTGCGATGTTGAGCTTCATGGTGGACTCTATAAAGTCTGCATTGAAGCAGATAAGGCATGTAAACCGTTGCTTGCCCCTCGAAGCTCTGCCTCTCATTATCTCTTCCTCCCGCGAGAATAGTCCGGTCACCTATCAGCACGCAAGTTGGCAACCTATCAGTCCAAGGCTAGTAACCTTCGTCCTGTTTCTGTCACAATCTAGCAATCGATCGGACAACTCGAGTTCTCATAGTCTCATGCAACATTTGGCGTCCTGGAGCGGATCGAATACCATCTCTTTGCGTTAAATACCTGATGAAGCGTTGCTTTTGTGGTCAAATGCTAAGGCAAAAGCCATGTCTGACAGGTCACGCCAGTGTGGTCACATTGAAGTCGTTCCTCTGCCCCTTCTGCGCTCTGGTGCGTCTCGCAGCTGCGCCGAAGCATTGTCCTCGATGCCTTCTTAGTAAAAGCTTGTCATGCTTTGCATGGAAATGAGTTCGAAAGGCGTGACCCTCATAGTCGGTGTTGATGAAGTACCTCCAAAGCATGTGTTTGATTGTGCTATGCTCACGTCGAGAAGCATTCTGGTGCCGACTCGTTTAGTCAGTACTAGATCACGCAATCTGCATCTTATTTAGATGGAAAATTACTCGCGTTCCGACTCGTCATGGTTCAAATCTCGACAGGCGCCAAAAAGTCAATGTCACTGTCCGCACCATCTTCAGCCGTTAAATATTCTGCATCATCGCTCTTGCCTGAAAGAATGTTCGTGATAAATCCCCAGGCACTGACTATTTGGTCCTCTGGTCCAACGAGCTCGTACATTCGGGTGACCCACTCATCCGTATCGACGATAAGGTGTCCGAGTTGTGGTAGAGCCGATATGGTATGGTGATGGATGAGGGAAAGGGGTGGCTCAAGAGGTGCAACAAGATTGTCAAAGGAGGACCACAGAGCCGTATCATTCCGTAGAGAGACTTGTGATTGAGAAGATGGGGAGCCTTGTCGCCCTATCCTCTGTTGTATGGCGGCGCTGGAGACCTTATCCACAAAGGTCTCAATCACATCGATCCGCTGATTTGAGGAGCCTTTCAGCAGACTCAACTTACTGAGCTCGGGAATACCTCCAAACACAACAAACTGCACAAGGTCCGCTTCACTGGGCGGCTTGCGAGATCGGATGATCGCTCCAGCCGAAGGAGCTCGACTCAGCGCGCGAAGGTGTTGTAGACAGAGTTCGAAGAAATGATACGCGGGGACGAGTGTAGACCTGGGGTATGCGCGCAAAAGACCTCTAACGGACTCTGCACAGAACGGGCATGGGCTGCCGCTGTGGTTTTGTGCAGAAGTTGTTGTTGACCCAAGCCTTGGATGACAGGTGTGCTCGGTGACAAGCATTGACCGGTAACTTTCAAGGAAATGGTATATCGTCCACGCTGCCAGATGAAGCCGTCTCATAAGAGTGAATTTGTAGAGGTTGAAATTGTCATACCGTTTGAACTGCGGAATAACATATACTTTCATCTGGATCCAGTTGATCAATACCTGCAGCATTCTTTGAACTTGGGCTTGTCTTTTCAGCATCCGGAGTAGATAATCAAATGAATCGCAAGGTTGTGGTGGAGGGTATAATGTATGGAGGTAATCGTAAAGGTATTTCGCCTTCTCTTCCCTCGTGCTACCCTCATAGTCCGTTGTCCGCTCGTAGGCATTCTGAAGAAGCAGAGATCGCGTGATCGGACCATCGTGCGACCGCAGGTACAAGTAGACGGAGCGAGACGTCGATCGGAGGCTAAGGAAGTCGGAGACGGAGAGATGACAGAGGATCTGAGCTGCGATTTCATCCGGCAAGGATTGAACAGCGTCCCATAACTGTTGCCTATCGGATTGTATATAAGCATTACACTCGTCTCAATCCACAGCTCTTTCTTGAGGGTACTCACGAGGAGTCAGTGTCCGTTTCGACGCCCTTGACTGAATGTGACTTCTTAGACCATGACGAGAGCCGTAGGGACAAGGCGGCCAGGCTGGGCCGACGAAGAGCATGAGTGTCTGCCGCTGAGGGTCTTCTCGACGACTCGCCGCTTGAGGGACCATTGTCAAAGAAATTCGCAGCGCTCGCCCGCCTGAGGACGTTCGTAACGGTGACCATGATGCGACTCGAAGTTGACCAGTGTATGCGACAGGATTTGGTTGGATTTTCTGTTCGGTCGTCTCTTGTATAAACTTGTACGCGCACGCACATAAATCGGAGTTTATACCCCCCGAGGTAGGGTGACCAGAGTCATCGAGGATCGGAAACGATGTGTATTCGTCCCACGGAAGGTCTCGGATTGCAGTTGTGTGGAAGATGGGCTCAGGTGAGCCGATGTGAAAGCATAATTTTCTGAAGTTGGTGGAGAAATCGAGCACCGACTCCGATGCGCAGGCGAATAGAGGTCTCAATGCAAATGCCCAAGACCCGGGTCAATTTCTACCTGCCCAAACTCTGCAAAGGTACATGTGGTGAGGCTGAAGTCTCTTGTAACTTTACAAAAACGTGGAACGCGCCACAAAGTTATAGAAGAAAACAGGGCTATGACGCCTTCAGGATCTTCGACTACTGCGAGAACAAAAGCATAGAGGTGAGATAGCGCAGACAGAGTCGCGTGCATTTCCAGATAGGCTGTCCCGTCCGACGATCCCCGCCAATGCACGAGCCCATGAGCTCATAAAGCCCATCGATAGACGCAGTCCCGCAGTCCGTTATTCGGTGCAGGGGCAGCTAGGTCGATAGGAGATAGGCACCCATGGCGCCTTTAGGGGCCAGTCCCAATCAAGAGTTCGCGCCGAACATGATACTAACCCAGCCTGGAGGTCCAGCCAACAGCCCGAGCCTAAAGTCGGTTTGGCCTCCAGCTTGAGACATGTAGCCGACTGCTTATCAAAGTACCTAGGTACACAATAACAAAGTACCACCAATGCTGCGGAACAGAATGACAATTCTAGGATACTACACACTGGCTTTTCCACTGTACGAGGTATTCCATCCCACTGCTGATGCCTGTCCGCATGCTGGTATTCTACGCCTTCCCTCAATCGCTCTAAACTCTACCTCCAAGAGCCGCAATACACTCCACGCTAGAAAGTGAATACAAGCAGACTGACTTTATCGCGCCATGATCCCATGCCCTTTGTTTGCAACGTAAGCTAATACTTCGTGCGCGAGGGTAACTTTTTCATTTGGTCCATTATATTGCCATCCAGTCCAAGAACTCCGTGAATCCACCTCAAGATGATAAAGAAACTGTCGGGTTCCTGTTTAGAAGGGTTAGGATCCAGTTTCCCATGCACAAGCAACGAATGAATCGTGGACCTCTTCTCAGAAGTTGTCATGGGTTTGTGGGGGGACTCACTCCCATATGCTTCTTGCCCTTGACCATTCTCGCCAGTTTCGGGTTGCCGTGTTCCAGTGACACAAACATGTCGTCGATTGGGAAGATTTCGTCGTCGTTTCCGTTGACTAGCAATACCTTGGTACACGGCTTTTCCAGGGTGCCGTCGTTCAGTAATGAGAACTTGCCAGCGTCTTGAATGAAAGATTCCAGGTCAGGGTAGCCGAATTTGTAAGTCAAGGTACTGGCGAGATCGAATGGGTACTCGAGTTTGCCCACGTTCTCGAGCCACTCCCTGTCAAACATCTGAGAGCTAGGTCAGTTCCGTACAAGACTTGACGACGGCAAGGAGAACTTACATGATGGCATCCCCCACCCAAGCTGATGCACGCGAAGACTCTGTCATGGTGGGTGTGAGCTAGTCTAAGCGAATAGTAGCCACCTGTTGAGAAGCCCCAGACGACGATCTTCTTGTTGTCAATTTCCTTTTGCGTGTCGATCCAGTCCAGTACACTGGACCATTGGCGATCAGGACTTGTGGGATCTTGACGAAGGGCTGGAGAGTCGCCAGTTCCTGGGATCTCAGCAATGACCGTCGCGACCCCTTTGTCCAGGAAGCCTTGCTGCCACACTGCCAATTCGGTTCGGTAGCCATCAAGTCCGGTGATGATGAGGACGCACGGAGCGGGAGACTGCTCGGTGGCATTTGGGGGGAGAAGAAAATTGACTGGGACGACATCGCCCTCGCCTTCAATGGCATGCTTGTGAGGAATCAGAACTTCCTTGATGGGATGCTCCAGCAGTCTGTTTCCACTCTTGATCAGTCGCCGTGAACCTGCGCACGTGGAGACCTCACTGACGCTGCACCCTTGTAGAACATCTCTTTCCCGACCTTCCAGGCATATTTCTGTTTTTCTGATCGCGGGGTAGGAAAACGCGAGATACGATATACGGCAGAGCTTCGCAGGTAATATTCTGAGGCCTTCTCGATTTCACCAGCCTTCTCCGCCTCTTCGGCAATCTTGGTGAGTTCTTCGGCCTTGGGAAAATACGACTGCGCGTACTCGTCCCAGTCATACGGTTCCTTTAACCCTTTCTGCGACAGGACTTAGCGAAAGTGTTCGGGGGAAGGAGCTGCAAAGGCGCACCTTGACTATTTCTTCCACGACAGGCTCAAAGTCCTTGATGCTGCCGAACATGAATGGATAGACTCCCATCGCGCACTGTCAAGAATTTATAAGTCCATAGCAGTGATTCTTCCTTGTAAGGGGCCACATACAGGGCCTTTCCATTTGGTCTCCCATAATTGCTGGAACGACTCGTGGTGGATGGCTGGTTTCGAAATTGCATCTTTGATGTAGTACTTTTCGGATGCGGACACCATGGCGGGCAGATTGGGTTTGGATTGGATGGATGGATAGTTGAAAGTGTATCTTCTGCCGGCCAATGCAGACTGCGCTCGTAATATACTGTCCTTGTTAT